GGGACTTCAGTGTTCTGACTTGTCCCATGAGTGTTCTGTGAAAGCGTTCGACGCTGCCTTGTGCTTGTGATGTGTATGTTGGTGCTTGTCGAACTGTGATGTTTCCTCCCATCTTAGCTGCTGTTGCTCTGAGAAGTGCTATGAGGTGATCCTCCTGATCTGACTGTAGGATTGTGCTGTTGAGTACAGCTTGTACTCTGCCACACTCCATGAGGAATGTTTGTATGCATTGGACGTGATATTGAAAGTCTGCTGTCTTGCTGTTGACAAGAACTGCCATGCTCATGCCTGTTTCCACGTCAATGCCTGTGAGGATTGGTGTTGTTTCCTTTTCTCCAAGTGTTTTGAAGAAACAAAAGTCGAATTGTACGACTGGTTGTTTGCTGTGTTGTCGTGGGTGGTTGTCTGCCCGTCCTTTGCTTTGAACACATGTTGGACACCAACTCCTGTAGGGAAGGTGTGTGAGTTCATGTTCAGCACGCTCTTGTGCTGTTGGCTGCTCTGGTGCTTTGATGCCTTTTGCTGTTCTGGCATCTAAATGTTCTTCCTCACCGATGTTGTAGTACTCCTCTTTGAACGCCGTGCTCTCCTCAAAGTTTGTTGAACCTGTCCATGTGAAGTTCATTGTTGCTGAGGTCTTTGTTGTCCAGTCATCATCAATCCTGTATCCTCTGGCTCCTGATGTTGGCTTAACTATTGTTTGTCTTTGTGGCAATAGCTTTGTGACATCTGGACCATCCATTGTTTGTTGTGGGATGTAAAGCTGAGTCCGTTGTTGTACATGGACTCTCTTCCAGTACTGTCCCTCTTTGATCCAGTAGTCTGCTGTTGCTGGTGTGTCCTTTGGTCCTGGAACTGCTGTTCCTGGATATGCTTGTTGCTTCATGGGCTGCTGTTGCTGTGGTACCAAAGGTTGTTCCACTGGCTTCTTCTCTCTGTGTCGAACTGCTGATCCTGTAGGCTGCTGAGCTTGTTGCTGCTGTTGCTGTGTCGTTGCCTTGGCTGCCGATGCCTTTGGTGTTGCTGATGCTGGCGCTGAAGCTGCTGTCGATGCCTTGGGCAACGGTGGTGCTGGAGGCTTTGTTGTCTCTTTGACTCTGAACCATGTTTCTCCTGACCATGCTGGTCCTGGAAGTCTTCTGTTCTGTCGTTGTTGTGGAAGGTCTTTGTATTTGTCCTCAAAGTCCTCAAGTGTTCCATCTGGCTTGTATGCTATTGTTCTTCTGTAGTTGTCCAGCTGTTCTTCTGGAACTGGACATTGTGCATCTGGTGTGAAGAGGGCCTTCCTTGTTCTCTTGTGTACCCTCACCAGATATCCTGTGCTGTTGTATATCCAAATGTCGTTGTTGTGTGTGACCCATTCAGGTCCTGTTGGTGTAATTGTCACTGGGGACACTGTTGCTCGAATGCCATGTGACGTCTCACATATGTCGAGCTTCATGTTGCTTGGCATTGGGCTGATGTTGACTGTAAGAAAATACAGTCCTTGTTGTTGCTTCAGTGTTGCTTCAAAGCCGTTGGTGTTGGTGATTGATGGGCGATCGCTAAGCTGGATGTTGAAACCCTGTGATGCCAGTCTTGTTACTGACAAAATGGGTTGTGACACGTCACACACATAAAAGGGTATGACGATCGGTTGTTGCTTGCTGTTCTTCATATACACCCATTTGTAGCCATAGACTGTGATGTCTTCCTCTGTTGCTGTTGTAAGTCTTGGGCCTTGTTCTGGGTGAAGTTCATATGTTTTGTATGTTGGGGCAAACCATGGTGGGCAAACATGTGTTGCTGCTCCACTGTCAATCATCAAATCTTCTGTGGTGTTTGCCGGTTGCTCAGTTGCTGGCCGCTGCTTGTTGGACTGCTGTATTGAAATGGCTGCTATGTGAAGTTGTGGAACTTGGTGTTCCTGTGCGCTTGTTGGTGGGAGTGCCAGTTGTTGCTGTGGCAGTGCGCTGACCTGTGTTTGGTCATCATTCCACCATTGGCCGTCATAGTACTGTTGTTGTTGATACCATTGGGTTGTTGCATCATCTTGCCAATGGCCAGTGTATGTGTTGGTTGTAACCTCGTTGAGGTTGTGTACTGCCACACGGCAGTCTCTTGCTATGTGACCTGGTTGGCCACATCTGTAGCATCCTTGTGCTGGGACCCCTTTTCCTTTTCCTGTTGGCTTGCCTTTGCCTTTGCCTATGTACCCTCCTTTGTTGTTGGATCCTTTGGGCTGCATTCCTTGCCCAATCTTTCCTTTGCCTTTGTTGTATCCGTAGCCATATCCTTTACCTTTGTTGCTCTTGTTCTTTCCTTTTCCTTTGTTGGGCTTCTTTCCTTTTCCTTTGTTGTACTTTCCTTTGTATCCTTTGTTGACAGCTCCAATGTCCATAGGTGCCGGTCCTCCTTGGGCGTGTGTTGAGACGCTGGATGTCCCAGGTTGCTGGTGTAGCCTGCTGAGGGCTGTGGTGGCTCTGTAATATTCCATGATTGTTTCACGTACCTCTACGTATGTTGGTGTTGCTCCTGCATTTAAGTGCAGGTGTTGTTGCAGTGGGCCTGATGTCTCGTTCATCAGGACTGCAATTTTGATTTGGTCTGGTAGTGCTGTGTTGTTGTCTCTCTCATACCTTGAGAGCTCGAATTCCCAGTTGGAGAATGACTCCTCGAAGTTGTTGCTGTCAAATGTTGGCTTGAGCAGCTTTGTTAGGTACCCTATGCTTCTTGTTCCTAATGGTATGGCAAACCTGTTGCTGAGCTGCCTGTAGGTCTCAAGTCCCATCTCATGTTGATACTGTCTGCACACTGTTGCTGCAGCTCCTGTTGTTACGTTCACAAGTATGTACTTCAAGTTGTTGTCTAGTTGTACCCATCTGTCGGCTTCCTCCATGTTCTGTGCTGCTCCTCTCAAGTCTGCTTCTGTAAGTCGTTGTGTGGATGTTGCTGCACGTCGTAGGATGTTGGGGTAGAATGGGTCCATGAGGCCCATGTATGCTGTGAATTTGTATTTCCACTCCTCAAATGTGGAATAGTTGCCATCATATGTTGGGGGCTTGAGTTTGAGTCGGTGTGTTGCTGCCAACGCTTCTGTCTGATCCTCTAGTGGTGCTGTTGGTGATGCCGCCATTGTTGCTTTGTAAAGTTTTGTTGAAGCTCCTCCAATGTCTTGGGATCAAGGCTTCTCCCTGTTGTCAGAATGTTGTTGTTCAGCTGCTGCTTCCTCTGTTGTCTGGTGTGTTGTTTGTTGGGCGTTGTGCACAGTAATTGTTGAGAGTCCCCCAGTGTTCTGGGATCAAGCCCTCTGCCTGTTGTTTACTGCTGTTGCTTGGAGATGCCCCTGGTAAGGCAGAGCTCCGCTACCATGTAAAAGTGCGAGATGTTTCAAGCACTGTTGTCAAGCTGCAACTGTCGGCACCTTTTGCTGTTGCACGCACTCAATCTGTATGTTGTCAACAGGAGTTGACTCAAGGCCTTGAACCACAGGCCAGTGTTGATATGACATGTTGAATATGTACATTGACACAACCAACCAACCAACCAACCAACCAACCAACCAACCAACCAACCAACCAACCAGATCCCTGCTTCACTGGGCTTGCCAGACAAGTCGTCCTCCGCGTACTGAAACTCCCGGCGCGTTGGTTTGGGCAGATCACTATGCTGGAGCCAGGGCCGTCGTTTGTCGTCGTCAAGGTGACCCAAATCGTGCTGCGCGGTTCCAAAATGGTGGATTTGACCAGGAAGAAAACAAACCATCCCTATGGATCCAAACACTGTCTCAGAAGGTACTTAACCCCCTAAATCATACCCCAAACACTTCCTAGGAAGGTACTTGGATCCATAGGGCATGGTGAATCAGCGTTTTTTTCTTTAACATGTAAACAAACATGGTGAATCAGTGCGTTTTTGATATGTTAAGAAAACCAGAAAACACTCATATAATCAATAAATGTAAAATGGACATAGGATGAAACATCGGCTTTTCTTTTTTAAATGGCCCGTTCTTGTCAGACCAACCGACCGCGGAAATCTCCTGGGGTTTATCATACCCATATGCAACCCATGGTGCTGGTATATTTACCTACAAAACTGGGTGATTTTGGACAAGGGCAAATGTAGGTAAATATACCAGCACCATGGGTTGCATATGGGATAAGTTATGATATAGTTTTTCTAATTCACAGTACAACTATGTTTTGACTATATCATGATAAACCCATACAACTATATGATCATTTATGAGTTGTACAACTAGTGTTTTTTTGTTACATGCCTGCATCCTGGGGCCCTCCGCACGCCACCATTCCTCCAGGTAGTTGCAGATGTTCTCGGTGTCATAGGCAAGACGGAAGGCGCCAGGGTCCACCTGGAGCGAAGCATGGTGGGTGAGTTTAAGCCACCTGGATGTGGAGAAACATGGGCCAATTCTGTGGTTGGTTCATGTTGCCGGTTATAGGTTATAGATATGGTTATAGATGGTTATAGGATGTTATAGGATGGTTATAGGATGTTATAGGATGTTATAGGTTTACCATATTTTACCACCCAGGCTCGGTTTTTTGACCATGTTGGAATCAACCAAGTCTGAGGCCAAAAACCATCGGAGCCCATGGGTGAGGGGAATTTTTGCCTGGGACGAGGTGTTTTCTTCCCTGGGATTCGCCTGAAGCCCCAACAAATGGTGTATTTCCCACATATATTTTCCCAAATGGTGTATTTCAAAGCTAAGTTTTATTGGAATTTGCCATATATTGCCATTACAATAGATCTGGTTGATGGTTGACCTACCCCTCTGAAAAATCATGGAGTTCAAGTCAGTTGGGATGATGAAATTCCCAACTGAATGGAAAAAAAAGGTTTGAAACGAATGATGAAATTCCCAATAAATGGAAAGTCATAAAATTCCCTGGTTCCAACCAACCAACCAGATCCAATATATGGAAAAATAACAAATGTTCCAAACCAGCAACCAGAATGGTGTATTTCCCACTGGGGAGCGTCAAACATCACATTCAACAAAGCGTGCTGTTGCCATCTTCAACCTGGAACCCGCGTGCTTTTTCTCTCAGGAAACGCGCCCCCCTGGCCATGGCTCCCAGTTCTTGTTGCTGTGCAAAAGTCAGATCTTTTAAACTGGCGGGACTTCGCAGTTGTTTCCTCCATTGTCACCACATGTCCCACTGAATCAGGATTGGAATCAATAACACTCAATGAAAACGTGAAGATGAAAACATAAATGTTATATACAGAAAAGATGAAAACACTCCATGTAACTTGTAGATGTACAGCAAATCCAAGTTGCAGAAAATGAAAACAAAGAACACAATAAAACAAAAACACTTTCAATGAAATGAGATAATGAGCCATTCAAGAAAATGCATCAAATCTTGTATACTTGACTGGAAGCAAAAACCACTTTCTCGAAATGGGGGATTTGGCATGTCCTCAACTTCTGCCTTCTTTGATCTTCCTCTCGACACCTCGCTTTGCGTTCATGCTCGCGCAGGCGCAAAGCCAGGGTGTCCTCAAGAAGGGTTTCGCAGTTTCGCCGTCAAAAAGGGGTGGTTTTGCAACATTTAACTGCCAGTATCAACAATAGGGCTATTTTAGCGTAGTCAATTGATTGGTTTAAGGGATAGAATCTGGAAAACATTGATTTAGTTGTCAAATGTTCGATGCGTCTCTGCAAGAAAAAACATTACAAAACAACGAATTTCGACTTTTTCTGGAAGACAGATTAAAAAAAGTTCGAAATGTGTACACATAGCCATGGAAAATCACCATTTTTAATAGGTAAACCATCTATAAATGGGCCATCTATTCCATGGCTACGTTAAATAACCAGAAGGTACCCTCTGATGTTTTGATATTCAAATGTGGCAATGGGAAATTTCCTTTTTCAATGCAGGTTTTTCATGGAAAGTGAATCTTCCAGCAAACCATGTTTGATGACACCGGAGGGTAGCCGGCTAGTGTGAAGGTCATAGCCTTTACCATGATTATTATCATATTATATATCATCAATCATGTTGTTTGTTTGTTTTTTTTCTAAAAAACACTTATCACATTATCATCACTATTATCAGCATCATTACCATATTATTATATTATTATGGTATTATCATTATACTATCATCATTGTTATGATCATATCATCAACGTTTTATCATCATATTGTCATCATATCATCATCATCATCATCATCATTATTACTATTACTGTATCTATCACAATCCCCCATGGTAACATTTTGGTCTTTTTAATCTTCTGTCCTCCAGCCGCATGGCTCTCACTTCGCGTTTCTCCTGGATGCATAGTTTGTTGACATCAGGACAGGGGGGTCCAACCATGTCCTTTTTAAGAGCTTCTGAATGTTGGGACCAATGCTGTTTTGCACTTGAAAGTTGGTGTTCTTGTTTGTCTAGTTGCTTGTTTGCTTGTTGGAAATTTACTGTCCATAAATGTTCTTGAGTCCCGCGGTTCCCAACCAAACACTTCCAACAACCGTGAGCCATTGGTGAAATCCCTTGAAGTTCCAATTCTACGGCTGGTTTTCCACCTTTTTTCCGCATAAAATGATAATCATCAAGCAACACTCTCAATTACAGTCTGTCCCCATATCGTCAAAACATTGTATATGGTTTATGGTCATCCCATCATCATTGGGGGTTTTTGTGCTGGGTATATCAACCCCTTTGAAAGAATTCATGACCATTCCCTTTATTTCAGGGCTGAGAAGCAAGTCAACACGTTTATGTGGAAGATAAACCATCTGGATAAATTACATATAATATTTCAGTAACCTGAAGTAGGGTAGAATAAGGTCATATGGGGGATGATTCCCTTTACTAAACTTAATATTGGTTATTAATGATGATTAAAAATTGATGGGTACAACCATTGTTACCAGTAATGGGTATAGTATAACAATGTATAACAATGGGATTTTAACCCCATCAGTTGGGATTACCCTTTGGTACAGTAAACTAACAGCTTGCGAACTGGAAATCACCATGTCTAAAACGGTTCATCAACAAACTTTCTATGGCCATGTTCAATAGTTATGTTGTGTGATGTTTATGAGTATAACCATTGTTACCATTAATATGTTCCAATATTTAATGATGATTATAACTGGTTGGTGGTTTCAACACCTCCGAAAAAAAATATATATATATATATATTAGTCAGTTGGGATTATTACTCCCAATATATGGAAAAGTAAAATTCATGTTCCAAACCACCAACCAGATAACCATGGGATTTTGACCCCCATCATAAGTTGGGATTTCGCTCTTGACTTCTCGTTCACCCCACTCCTGCTTCAACCGCCGCTTGGTCATGGCGGTCAAGCGTCGCTCAGCCAGGGCTGTGGCGCACAACCAGCGCTGTTGCAAAGTCATGGTCTTCCTGCGGGATGGCTGTTCAAGCCCGACATACCTGTGACAAGTGGCTATAAATATGGTTGTAAGTTATAAGTTATAAATGGTTGATTTATGGTTATTTTGTTATAAATCAACCATTATATAACTTCTGTTCTCTTCATCAACCACGGATCTGCTTGGTCTGAGTTGGTCCTCCCAATTGGATCAGTTTTTTTTTACGAGATTGAACTGTTGGGGTTGATGAGTTCAACATAAGTTATAAGTTGCTTATATAACATCAACCCAACCAACCAAGTTATATAACATTATATAACTAACTTAGTCTTATATAGGTTCTATAACTAACTAGGATATATAGTAGGTTATTGCATGTTATTGCTTTAGGAGTTACCAACTTATAGCTGCCCGTGGCACTCTAAGGGCACTTGCCCAATATCGTAAAACATGCGGAGTTCACCATTTCATGTATTCGTTTTTAGGAAAGGTTTCATGATGTTTGATGTTATCTATTGATGATAAACTAAGATATCTATTGAAAATGGGATTTTAATGGGATTTTTATGGGATTTACCCTCTGGTAATTGAACATAGCTATTGAAAATGGCCCAGTCGAAATAGTGAGTTGTCCCATTAATAGCATGGTGATCATTTCCATATAGTTTAATGTAAACGTTTACCAGAGGGTAAAGGAACAAATGTGACGAATCCATGGAATCTGGAAGATGATGAACTTCCAGCAACTCACAGCAACTTGGCACATCAGCAGTCGGCAGTCCTCTCCAAACGTCGCTGACGCCGTTCTTGGGCCCTGGTCTCCTGAATGTTGGGGCCCGCTGTCCAGGAGAGTATAGCAATCCCCTCCCCAACAAGGAACAGAAAAGCAAACCCTACTAAAATAGTGGATATCATGGGATATAATTATAATTATACATACATATTCTATATATCAATTATAATAAAATTATAGAGTAGCGGACAATATATTATATGTTAAATCTAATGCCATGCACAAATTAGAGTCGTCCCCTATCGCTTGTGAGGATTTCAGTATTCCCGGAGGTATCACAAATGCGGTATCGGTATAGGGTCGTCCCCCATCGGTTATGAAGGTTTTGTGCAACCTGGGAAAGGCCAAGGCGAAGCAAGACTAAATTAGTATTACAATAATTGTGTCGGTTATTCACATAACCAACCATATTCTATTTGGGGATGCCCTCAATTCATGTTGATCTCAATAATTATACTAGGCGCAGATGACACGGGACTTTGCGGCCAATTTGGCCGAGGTTTTTTGGCACATGACATGGGATTTATGTATCGATTTTGCTATGTTTTTTTTACACATGACCTGGGAGTTATGGGCCGACCGACCGGGCAGCTATTTTTCCATTTTATTGACAGATGACATGGGAATAAGTGATCAAATTTACACATGACATGGGACTTCCAGGAAGACACAGACATCCAAGATGGGAAATGATAGGTAAATTCCTTTAAATGCCTCTAAAATCTTTTCAATTCTTTTAAATTCCTTAAAACGCCTTAAAAATCCTTTAAATTCCTTTAAATTCATTTAAATTCCTTTAAATTCCTGAAAATTCTTTAGTATTGCTTTGAATTCATTCAAATTCCTTCAAATTCCTATAAATTCCTTAAAAGACGAATTTACCACATGACATGGGACTTCCAAATCCTTAAAATTCTTTGACATTCCTTTCAATTCCTTTAAAATATTTTAAATTCCTTCAAATTCCCTTAAATTCCTTTAAATTACTTAAAAGACGAATTTACCACATGACATGGTACTTCCAATTCCTTTAAATTCGTTTAAATCCCTTTAAATTCTGTGAACTTCATTCTATTTTTTTTAATTCCCTTAAATTCCTTTAAATTCCTTGAAAGATGAATTTAACACATGACATGGGACTTCCAGTTCCTTAAAGTTACTTAAAATTCTTTTTAATACCTTTAAATTCTTGGAATTGCTTTACATTCCTTTAAATTCCATTAAATTCCTTTACATTCCTTAAAAGATACATGACATGGGACTTCCAATTCCTTAAAATTCTTGAAAATTCCTTTAAATTCCTTTAAAATCCTTTGCATTCCTTGAAATTCGTTTAAATTCTTTAAAATTCCTTTAAATTCATCAAAGTCCCTTTAAATTCCTTAAAAGACGAATTTACAACATGACATGGGACTTCCAATTCCTTAATTCCTCAAAATTCCATTAAGTTCCTTTAAATTCCTTAAAAGACGAATTTACCACATGACATGGGACTTCCAATTCTTTTAAAAATTCTTTAAAATTTCCGTAAATTCCTTTAAATTCCTCAAAAGACGAATTTACCACATGACATGGGACTTCCAATTCCTTTAAATTCCTTTAAATTCCCTGAAATTCCTTTAAATTCCTTAAAGACGAATTTACCACATGACATTATGACATTGGACGTCCAATTCCTTTAAATTCTTTTAAATTCCTTTAAAATCCTTTACATTCTTTTACATTCCTTTAAATTCTTTTCTATTCTTTTAAATTCCCTAAAATTCCTTTAAATTCCTGAAAATCCCTTAAATTCCTTAAAAAACGAATTTACCACATGGCATGGGACTTCCAATTCCTTTAAATTCTTTTAAATTCCATTAAAAAGCCCTGAAATTCCTTTAAATTCCTTGAAAGATGAATTTATCACATGACATGGGACTTCCAATTCCTTTAAATTCCTTCAAATTTCTTAAATTCTTTTAAATTCCTTAAAAGACGAAATTACCACATGACATGGTACTTACTTCCAATTCTTTTAAATTCTTTTAAATTCCTTTAAATTCTTTGATTTTTTTTTTTTATTCCCTTAAATTCCTTTAAATTCCTTGGAAGATGATTTTATCACATGACATGGGCCTTCAAATTCCTTAAATTCTTTTCAATTCCTTAAAATCCCTTTAAATTCCTTAAAAAACGAATTTATCACATGGCATGGGACTTCCAATTCCTTTAAATTCTTTTAAATTCCATTAAAAAGACCTGAAATTCCTTTAAATTCCTTGAAAGATGAATTTATCACATGACATGGGACTTCCAATTCCTTTAAATTCCTTCAAATTTCTTAAATTCTTTTAAATTCCTTAAAAGACGAAATTACCACATGACATGGTACTTACTTCCAATTCTTTTAAATTCTTTTAAATTCCTTTAAATTCTTTGATTTTTTTTTTTTATTCCCTTAAATTCCTTTAAATTCCTTGAAAGATGATTTTATCACATGACATGGGCCTTCAAATTCCTTAAATTCTTTTCAATTCCTTAAAATCCCTTTAAATTCCTTAAAAAACGAATTTATCACATGGCATGGGACTTCCAATTCCTTTAAATTCCCTTAAATTCTTTAAATTCCTTAAAAATCGAATTTACCACATGACATGGGACTTCCAATTCCTTAAAATCCCTTAAAATTCCAGCTGCTCAGCTCCGACCCGTTCGGACGGTTTTCCAAATAGTTGCTGAATAGCTTTGAAATAGCTGCTAAATAGCTGCAAATAGTTGTTGAATAATTGCTAAATAAGTGCTAAATAGGTGCTAAATAGCTGCTAAATCGCTTCGAAATAGCTGCTAAATAGTTCCTAAGTAGCTCCTAAGTAGCTGCTAAATAGCTGCTCAATAGCTGCTAAATAGTGGTTGAATAACTACTAAATAGGTGCTAAATAGCTGCTCAATAGCTGCAAAATAGCTGCTAAATAGTTGCTGAATACATGCTGAATAGCTGCTAAATAGTTGCTAAATAGTTGCAAAATAGCTTCCAAATAGTTGCTGAATCATTGATAAATGGCTTCTAAATAGCTTCGAAATAGCTGCTCAATAGCTGCTAAATAGCTGGTAAGTAGCTGCTAAATAGCTGCTAAGTAGCTGCTAAATAGCTGCTCAATAGCTGCTAAATAGCTTCGAAGTAGCTGCTAAATACGTGCTAAGTAGCTGCTAAATAGCTGCTAAGTAGCTGCTAAATAGCTGCTCAATAGCTGCTAAATAGCTGCTAAATAGTTGTTGAATAACTACTAAACAGGTGCTAAATAGCTGCTAAATAGTTGTTGAATAACTACTAAATAGGTGCTAAAGAGCTGCTAAATAGCTGCTAAGTAGCTGCTAAATAGCTGCTCAATAGCTGCAAAATAGCTGCTAAATAGTTGCTGAATACCTGCTAAATAGCTGCTAAATAGTTGCAAAATAGCTTCCAAATAGTTGCTGAATAATTGATCAATGGCTTCTAAATAGCTTCGTTATAGCTGCTAAATAGCTTCTAAATAGCTGGCAAATAGCTGCTGAATAAATGCTAAAGAGCTGCTAAATAGCTTCTGAATAGCTGCTAAAATAGTTGCTAAATAGAACAAGGAGGTGAATGGATTCATGTGACTTTGGAATATTCTAACTGCTGACGTATAATTTTGGATTATTCCAACTGCTAGTAGGTAGTCATACACTCATATACTATCTTTGTTCATATGGGATGTGAAATGTACAGTGTGTGAGTTAGTTGACATGACATGTTTTGCATCTTTTCGGATGCAGAGGTCCCATGTCATGTGACTTTTTTTTTCCGAGGCACTTTACAGATGACACGGGACTTATGCATTTTTCTGTTTTTTCACTTTGCAGGTGACATGGGAGTTTGCGTTTTTTGGGTATGTCCGACAACTCCCATGTCATCTGCAGGTACTATATAGAATAGCATTAAAAAAACATGAAGATTACTATAAATTGGTAGCATCATCCCATTGTTTAAAGGGGTGAACAACAAATGACAACATGGATCATAACAAAACAAGAAGCGATTTCAATCATGATGAAACATGTTGAAACCAGCACTCATGTTCACATCACCTGTAGGTTCACAGTGCTTGTTCATGGCAAGCCTTTGAAACGCTCCACAAAGATATCGTTTGGAACAAAAACACAACGTGATATTCCTCCATTTGTCTAACATCCGTCCATGTGTGTGATATGTGTCCATTTGAATGGCTAATAAACAACAAACAAACAAACATCTGCCATTCATCATTATCCATTCATCAGTCAGCTTTCCCAGTGTCCTTGTCTTCCTTTTGCTTCTGAATCATTTCCAACCTCTTCTCCCGCAGATTGCGCTTGCTGCGCACATCCTCCATAAACTTCTGCGCTACCTCTTGGGCCCTTTCCAGAGAGACAGCGGGCCGGCTTTTGTAGACGTTCTCACGCTCAGCCGTCATCACAGACACCAACCTCAATGGATCTTGCAGGGTGAAGATCCATTTTGCGGGTCACTATTTCTATTGGGCCCAAATATATCCCAAAATGTCAGTTGTCCTGTCAGTTGCCCCATCATCACCTTGATAAATTCATGAATAGTATAACGTTTGACAAACCTCAGATCAGCATAGATCAGCTAGGCTATGTTTGGGATTAATTCTCCTTCTGAGCATCAATCATCTATGGTTAGACTGTACAACCTGCTTAATTTTACGATGATCGATCAGCACCTGGCATCCTTGATTGATTTGTGTTGGTTCCAGTACTGGAAGTTCAATACACATAATCTATAACATTGCTAAATATAACATCAGCAACATCCTATGTCTCACCATCGACAGTGCGACATTCACCATATTTCACCATCAAATCTCAGCAACTCTTCACAGAAAGCCTGCTCTCCAGCATCTCTTGCCTGCAACATTCGCTGTCGATCTTGCAAGACTTCCCGCAGGCAGCTACTGCTAGGTGATCCCACCTTGATACTAAATGCTCGCATATCCACGCAGTATGCGGCATTCATCTCCTCCCAGATCGCGGGGTGTCAAGGTTTCAAGCCACGCACAGGAAAGATTACACCCAAAAAGAAATCATATCTAGATGGAACCGGCCTGATATTCTGGGATTTGGATGGGTTTCTGGGTTTCTCTTCATGTTCTTCGGGTTGCAACTCGATCATCGATTCCCCATCTTGCTATCACACTTCCCAAATGGACCAAAACTTTCCTGGCACGATAGGGGTTGAACGTTTTGACCGTTTGATTCCATTTGAGTATACTAAGTGGTACCGAAAACCAATGGCTGGGTACGGTGCGGCATCCTCATTATGTCATTTCATGGCTTCAATCTTAGATACCTTGCAAAACCACTCAAATCTCAGCTATAATTGGAACTAATCATTCCACTTTCCCATTTATTATACCAAAAAACATCGCTCACTAAGTTGCCGTTCACCCAAATTACATGTTTTTTGCATCACTGAACTTCTCCAAGCAGTCTTTGGGGTCTCTGCAGTCAGTCACCTTGAGCTCAGAGGCTCTCGCATCACAGGCACTGAGGCAGATCTCATCGAAACTCCGCTGGGGGGCATCCAGCATGGCTTGTTCCACTTCGTTGCGGATCTGCATCAACACCTGAGCTGTGTTTTTTTGTTGTCTGGGCCCTTATATTCCTGCTTTGCCTACGCCACTGTCTACGCAATGCCTACGCGGCCACAGTGGGAACCTACGCGGATCATACCTTTGAAGGTGTGCCTACGCAGGGCCAACGCCCGTGTAAAACGATGCCACAACGTACTTGTTTGCCTACGCCGTCACACTCCCGGCTGCTTTTGGAAATCTGGAAGGGGACTTTTGCTTACGCGACCACAGTCCCATCAACATTTTGCTAAGTGGCATACCTTGCGGCGCCCTGCAGGGGCACCAGCCAGCAGGCACCAAACCAGCACCCAGACTCCAAAGCGCCCATAGACATCTTGCACCCACACCAGCAACCAGGTCCCCAAGTGTTTCAACGTGCTGAAGGGCGGTTCTGGACACTTTAATGCTTCGAATATGGACTCATTCGCACGCGGGCTGGTGGTCAGTCTGCGCACCCGAGCCTACGCGGTGCCTACGCGAAGTCTACGCGAAGCGTACGCCTGTTCCAGGGGTCCCCTGGCAGAAATCTGGTGAAATATTCGGCTCAAGCAAGAGCCTTATGGCCCTTACAGCAAAAAGCAGGTGGAAAGCGAAGAACATCTAGGCTCCAGTTGGCATGGACAGCTAGTGGTTTCAGCTGCTCCGCTGCCCTTGTGTAGCTGCTCTGCCGGGCGGGTTCCTCGGTTTGCTCGTATAGACGAGTATCCATGAATGAACCTGGTGCCTTTGAACATCTTTGAACCTTTTGTGGACAACATTGCATCAATTTTAAAGCATGAGATTGCAACGCCGATCATGTACGAGCAATTGAAATACTGTACAATAAAATTGTCGCGTACGCGAACCAGAAATATTTGGAACCTTGAAACATGCCTACGCCAATCCTACGCAATCCTTACGCCAGCCATGTAAAACCACACCGAAAGCAACATCCAGTTTACGCTGCAGATAAACCCCTTCATACTTAAAAAAAAACGTAGCTCACCTGAGGTGAGCTGAGTGGTTGGTGGCTCAGGAGTTTGCCACGGAAGAAAGGTAGTACTGATCGATGACTTATCTACGAATTTGATGGTGGCTCCTTACTGGAATACCCGCCAATGTAGTTATCCCCAAATAGATCAAACAGTAACATCCTATTACAAGACTGGATTGAAATTGTGATGATCTGTACTTTTCGGAATCTTTTTGGGGGTTCGAAGCTTTTGAATCCCGGTATCCTCAATTCCCAACGTACGAATGCACCATGGAACGATATGATGGTCGAGTGCACCCTGAATGTCATGGCGGTACTTGGATCGAAAGATCACATTCTCAAAGGACACAGAGGCTTGATACGACACCCTGCTGGTTTTGGAATCGATACGGCGGCTCACACCTCTCCTCGGCTGAAGTCTCAAGTAAAAAAAAACAGGATTTCAGGCCCCCCAACTATTTAGAATATCCCCAGTTTTATATTGGCTATAAACCACTGTCTGGGATGCAGATCGAAGTTGGGTGAAACACAACTCGGAGGTAACATTCCAACCCAGAAAAACATGGGATAGTATGAGTCAATCATATCACCAAAAAATGGATGGTTTATGATGGTTTCAGATCCTAAGAAAGCCAGGTGATCAATTTTGCGGCTTGAACATGTTACTTAAATGACGTGACCCATATACCGTACCCATTTATCAAGCAATATCTAAGAGTTGCGAGCAAAAAAGGCGCCCAAGAAAGTTCCATGCTTCATTCATCGTCCAAGGTTCATCCCAGTGCAGCCGTAAGCTCGCTTCTTTTTGGGCGTCGCATGTCCCGCGTGTCCATCCGCATCCTCTAACGCCAAGGGCGCAGAGGACGAAGAGTCTGAGAGATGGGCGTCCAGGCTGAGGTCAGGAGCTTCTCCTTGCGTTTTTGGTGCTACCCAGACAGTGCTCCTTGCAGACAGTGAAGGTGAACCCCAAACACCACCAAACAACAGCCCCATAGGATATCCAACATATTCGACTTAGTCCAATGGTTGACCTATTGAAAACCGTGATTTTCCACAGCTATTTAAAGTCGCCCACAGGGAAAACATGAATAGGAATTCTCCAGTGCGTCCTTGACTGGCTGATGAGGATGATGATTATCATTCCTATTACTATGGGTATCATGATGTATGTTGTTTCTTAGTGTTAATTAGAATTTTATTATTATTGGAGCCAGAAATTCAAAAACTGATTGAGGTGTTTTCTTTTCAATTAATGGTCACCATGTTGTTTGTTGCCGTGGATTTAACAAACACATTGAAAAACCAAAAGCACCAAATCAACATTGCCAGAACAAAAACATGTATATCCTTGCAAGCAAAACAGAAACATTGATTAACATCGTTAAAACATCATATTGACCTTCAAACACCAATCATTGATACAATAATTCAACACACATCAACACACATCAATGATGATGAACATTGCTAAAACATGACCAGCTTCACATCCGAAAGATGCTCCAAGTGATCCACAGCAGGCTCTTCCTTGGAATCTTCGCTCGTCTCGTCAGAGCTGGAGGCTGGACACTGCAGCGTTGGATCCAACTGCAGGGGACGACAATCCACAGGTTCTGAACGACATTTGTTGATTTTGAAACCTATGGATACTACTGTTAGAATTAAGATAAACTCTAGGTATACAGGTATACTATCCTTTATACTATAGCTATAAACCAACTCAGATCGCTTATTTTACCCCACCTGCAGGTAATTAGAATTCTATAATGGAAGAAAAAACACAAATGGAACATATCTAAGTTGGTTATACACATATAATGTATATATATATATATATACACCCCCATTCATCCCCAGCAAATCACCAATGGAACAAACAAAAAAAGCTGTTCACATCTTCGAAAGCACCACCTCCTCGAAGACTTTAGCATCTTTGGCACCTTCAGATCCTTCCGGTGTCGTGGCTTCTGTCGGAACTCCTGAGATGGACTCCGTATGGATCCCCTTGAGACATGACTTTCCCTGCTAGCTCGCAGGTCTCAATAAATGTCTGCAACTCAATGAACATACTCCTTACATATGTGCCGCACTAAATGTAATTCATGTATAGAAAACGTATTTTGTTGATGATAGTTTGTCAAAATCCCATTAATTATTCACAGATACATCACTATGAAATTCCATGATATTATATTTACATATATTTACATCACTAATAGTGCATTATATTATTGTATTTGTTGACGATCTTTGTTTAAGAAAACTCAGGTCCCTTCACAGATCAAATCACCACTCCTGTCTTCCCGTAGGTCGTCATGAAATCCAGGAGCATTGCTTTCAGCTCCGTGGAAAGATCGGAAAGGGCCACCTTTCGCTGAGCGGAAGTCATGGCCAAAGCCAGCCTCCTTGGGAGTACCAGCGCAACCATGAGGGACTTATACCGACTTACCAGTGAAAAACGGAGTTAATTAGGAAGAAATCTGAAATTTGATGGTTTTGAGATAAACGGATGCAACCAAAAATCATCCCAAATGCCTCATTCTAAAAATAAGAGTCCAATTGCTTTTGGGCTTCCCCAAGTCTCAGAATCTGTCATATGGATGTGGGCCAAAATGAAAGTCAAGTCACACACTGCACCAACAAAAATGCCATATGTTAATAATTGTTGATTAAATAACACATGCGACTGCTGAGGTCCCAAATTTTGATTCAACCAATATGTACTTATATCACTGTATGTGTATAATATAATATATACGTATATATATAATATCTCATATGTTATATTGACGCGTGGTCTCTGTTTCAGCGAGGCTCAGCCTGGCGGCTGCCTGTAGGTCCTGTAGGTAACATTTAATGGAATGGACTGTAAATACATGAGATTTAATGAGATTTAACATTTCAATGGTCAATTATAATGTTAATGGTCAATGGTCAATTAACATTCAATGGTCAATGAGATTTAATGTAATTGACTTTGAAATCTCACTTTCATCATGTCTTGCCCAGTTCATCTCCAGGAGACAGCAGCTAGTTACTAATTACTTCCATGATCCAGGCCATGTTTCCATGCCACCCATCCAAGCCCAAGCTGGATCCTGAGCCTCATCAAGGACTTGGTGATCTTGGAAAACAACGTCTTTGCTTTCGGCGTTTTCGGAACGTCCTTGGAGGCCTTGGCCCGGTCCTCCCCGGTCGTCTTGCGGCGTTTTGGCTCCGGGAAGCATGCTGGGGCAACATCTTCCCGTGGTTGACGTCGTAGCAAGTCCTGGGATAGCATGATGACTGGCATCATGAGGTGATGACTGTGGGTTCCAAGGTAACCACAGGTTGACGCTCTATGCAAAACGACCTGTAAACGTACAACCGCCGCTTGAAACTTTTGAGCCTAGTGTCAGCAGCTGATTGGGAAATGGCTGGCTCATAGAGATTCCCAGTTCATGGATTATGATAATCTCCAATATATTGTTAACTGTTGTGATTTATTGATTATTGGGTAGCACAACCCCCTATCATCAACGGGAAAAAAAAAAGTTTCAAAATAGAGATCCCAGCACGGCCAAGAATCGTACTTTGCTCGCGCCCGAATGCTAGAAAGCACCTCAAAAGCATGCAGCACTTGACGAAAGGCTTCTGCAGAACCACCCTTGTCTGGATGTGTTCGAAGTGCTTGTCGACGATATGCCTTGGGACTCAAAATGACACCAACGACCGGCATGATGGGGACAAGATTGGTGACCAAGAAAAAAGCACTGAATTATCGCTCCGAATTCCATGGACCACGCTTGTCAACTTTGCTGATGCTTGGGGCAAATGTCTTTGATTACAAGATATCCTTCTTCCCAAATAAACACATTGGACAACATACTAGCAGAAAACTAGCTGGCACACGTACCCGCCTATAGTGATATCTAGATCATGATACAACAAATGATGGTCTGTGGACGGCGGTATATTGGTGGTCAAAACAGCCGGGAAACTCCCCACACAGTACACTCCGAATGACCGGCATAGACTCTGTGGGGATGTTGTTCCCAGGATATCGAAGCCATATATGTTGTATTTTTCTTACCTGGTTTGAAAGATCTATTCTGGAAAGCCTCAACGATGCCCACCAGGGAACTCACAAACATGTGGAACCCCCATAGTTTCCCAAGGAAATCAGTTCATCATTATGCACCCGACCCTACCTATTGATTGTAGATACGGGGTACCCTCTTTTTCATCTGCTAACAACTACGCAGGAAAATGACATCTTCACTCCATCTCAAGAATGGTTTCATCTCAAAGTCTCAAATGTGATGTTCAGGTTTCCATGTTTGAATGCTGTTGATGGTCATAGCGGGGTAGAGCCCACCTATAATAACAAACAATACTTCAACTGGGTTTATACATATATATATGTACATATACATAGACATAGTTTGAACTAGCTATGAATATGGAAAATATATAGATGATTCGCCCATCACAACTGGCAATTTTCCATAGCTATGTTTAACTACTAGATGGTAATAATATACATTATCTAACTTACACAAGAAACAAAAGAACTTGTTAAACCAGGTCCCAGAATCATTGGGTGGTTGAAAACGATCATGGGGTTTATCACATTACACGTACCATTATTTTGGGATCATGAAACCCTCCGGTTCAAGTTGGTTTCGTTTATATCTTCGCTGAGTCCAAGGAGCACTACGCAACTCGGCTTCAGAAGCAGTGTTCTCCACTCCCAGGATTGCATAGAAATCCTGGTGAGCTTCGGATAGCCGGATAGATGGATGAATGGTGTGTGTATAGATACACTCCTGATTTTTTTCAACCTGGAGCCCCACACTTTCGTCTTTTGTCTTTGGAACATCATTTTACAAGTGGATATCGAAATTGCCATTTTGGGGGTTCCATGGGGTTACATGCAAAATGTTGGGTCTACAGCAATACTCAACACACAAATTCACAGGAAGTGGTGAGAAATAGCCATGATGTTCCGAGAAGTAGGGTTGCTTGCCGAGTCCCGTCTCCAGGGTGTAGTTCATTAATCATTAATCCAATAAGATCAATGGTTGCTGAAAGAAATTGTCAAACTATTGTAGCATATGGCTTTGCCCAGACATGCAGCATACCCCGAAATGGCCAGATTGCATGATCAAGATTATTGAAAAAGAAAAGAAAACTGGATTTGGGGTACCCTATGTTCAACCAACCCCCAACATATGTATATATATATACATAAAACACATCCCCTGATGCCGTTCATCAAGGTTCGGCCTATCCTTGCCAGGTGCTGCCCCATAGTTCCTTCAACGTAGATATTTCTATATCGCTGAGCTGGTCTCCATATATGCTCTATATATAATTCATATAGAAACACCATTGACAATTGCAACTACTATACACCCCAGTTATACTAGATAACATGAAATAAACATATGATAATATGATATATAATGGATCTTTACGGGGCTTATAAGTTACATTTATCATCCAACTCCTTCCCTGATGGCACCACCTTATACCAGCGAAGTGCGAAGCCCATGTTTTCTTGGGAATATGGATGCCGCAATAGCTCCCTTCACCACTCCCTCCATTCACCATTGCATAGTGCTCATCATCAACTATGATCCCCCTAGTTTTCATATGTTTGGTCACGAGAGCGTAAGATTTGGGGCCAAATGTCCCTAAAATTCTCGTGTAATTTTCCCTCGCATCCCATTCAACCCCCATTCAATCCTCATTCATCACCTTTACCATCTGGTTATTTAACATAGCCATGGAAAGATCCACCATTTTTAAGAACGGTAAACCATCTATTTCGATTAGGGCCATCGACAAACCATGGCTATGTAACAGTCATAACCAGAGGGTAAAACCGATATTTTCGGGTGACCAACTTGGGGTCATATTCCCCAGCAACTTGGCCGTCTTTCGGCGCCGAGGCACCACAGATTTCAGGCGGCTCAACATCAAATCGAAGATGCCATCCTCGAAGCCGGAAATTCCGGAAATCAGGTGGGATTTCAGTAGGATTTCTTATCCACTTAGGGTTCAAAAAAATGTTCATGTTGTGGGATGAGCCGCATCAATGGAACATAAATCATGATACTAATGATGGTCTAATGATAGTTGAATAATGTGTTCAAATATATGGCTTTTCAATGATTTTCATAGGGAAACTCGACTCAAATGGGATGATTTTTTTCTTTTTTGGATGGTGATGGATTTCCCCCGAAAAATCATTGCCATGGCTGGAAAGCTTACCCCGAATGAAAAACCCAGGTTTAGAGCTGGGAAAGTTATCTGGAAATGGGTGATGTTCCATTGCCGTGGCTGTTTGATTACCAGATGGTATAACCATCTATAATGACATAAGCTCTATTATGGTTAATATTACCATAAGTATAGGATAATATCACCATAAGTATAGGAGCTATAACAATGGTAATTTTACCATTTATACCATCTATGGTAATATAACCAATAAATCATAAATGGGTGATATTTCCAGATGGGATATAGCTCCTATACTTATGGTAATAAAATACCGCTGGTTACTGGAAATGCACCCCCAAATAGAATTTGTTGACTCATGGTTGTTGTGTCATCCGTTGTATATCACGCGGTAGCAAGCGAACTCACATCATCATCATCATCATCATCATCACCATCATCATGTGAAATATCATCGTGTAGCATTTCACATCTGTCTAGATGTGTTGGTTCATATACCGCAGTGTCAGTGTGACAGAAAGTCCCCAAGTTGTGTAAGGCTCCGTTCATGGGGAGTCCCAGATCGTGGAATATGATATACCCGGCCTGGTAAACTCACAGTTTGCGAACTTGAAAATTGCCATTTGTAGTTGATTTACCCATTAAAAATGGTGATTTTCCATAGTTATGTTAGTTTACCAGAGGGTAGAATTCACAAGATATTCTCTGATTGGTGGTATACCTACCCCTCTGAAAAATATTTCTTCGTCAGTTGGGATGATGATATTCCCAATATATGGAAACATAAAAACATGTTCCAAAGCACCAACCAAACAATATATTCTGTAATTTAGCCCCTTCCATTTTTGACACTGCTTCCTGTAATTGATGTCACTGGGGCATACTTTTTTAACCAATCAACGGTTGAATTTGTTGATGACAAAAACTTGATTCATAATTCCCTCACAATCTTTCATGGAAGATAAGTGAAGATAATATACTGGTTTGCTGGTGCAATAACCATCTAGAAAAAATATGAGTTCCGCAATGGGAAGGATGATATCCCATATATGAAATGGAAAATAACATTCATGTTTGAAACCACCAACCAGAGTATTTGAGTGATTCTGTACAGATTCACATTCATGGAAGATAAATGATATATCTAACAGATGACATTGACATATCTAACAGATATCTATGTCCATGGTTAGGCGGGTTGGTAAAAACCAACTTCCACATTTGCACCGTCGATCTCGAACCCCTCGTCCTGGGCACTCGCAGCGAGCCGCCACTCGTCAGTGGACACAGCGGAGATTCGCCAGGAAATGCTGCGGAGTGGAAACCTGTCGTTTCAAACCTAGGAAACTGATATTATGAAATGATTTTAAATGATATGAAATGCCAATTTAGTATAACTTAACCCCTCCCCGTAAGAATTAATTCAATACAACACATATATATATATATATAATATTATAATATATGAAATATCGACCAAACGAACCTCTGAAGGAATGTAATGTACTGGATTGTTTCATTATTGTGAGGGCCAATATTGGGAGCTTGGCGTGATTTATATAGTAACCCACGAAGAATCAGAAACATGGAAGGTATGTTGTGAAGAATCATGTGCAAGATCTTGGATCATAGCATGTTTCATCAGGAAAACGTTGCAAACGACACAAACAAACATCAATGGATGTAGCCAACAGAACATGTTAAACAATGGAACAAAAGGTATAAAGTACAGTATTTGTATTGAGGCATGGGTTTGTCTGATTGTCTACCCACTTAAATCCACTGGTTTATCATCATCTTCCCAATCAACAGGGGCCTTGAGAATCCCTGCAGGAACCCCCAACTGCCCGGCCTTGCCAAGGTGACAGAGGGAGTTCATGGGATTTTGGAACAGATTTGATTGATAGCCAACAGCCAACTTATCTGGTTAACTGTTGGGCTTATGGGGAATATAACTATACCCCCTGGTAATTTAACATAGCTAGTGAACATGGTGATTTATAGTGGATTTTCCCATTAAACATGGTGATTTTCCATAGTTATGTTACTTTACCAGAGGGTATAAACAAACTTATAATTGAGGGGGGGGCACCACCTTGTACTCATTTAATGATAAAACTGACTGGATGGTACTTGATTGAACCAAGTCAAAATTGAGATTTCACAAATCAAAAGTGGGTTGGACATGCAACGTGGGGGCGACCATTGATAAATTGATAATGGGTGTTGAACACAGCAATTTTCATGAGTGGGCATGGAGCAAGAAATCATGCCCACTGAGCACGGCCAATCTAGCAGAGATGTGAAGGTGATGTAGGAGAAAATAACATGAATAACAAAAGGTGTCTATTGTTTCGGAAGCAGCAAAAAAAATGGCATCAAGTGATATCAAGTGACCTCTTCTCACTTGGTAATCTAGAGGATTGTTCCGGGCCGCCATTCCGAGGGAAACAGCTCCGTTGAGCAGTGCTGCAGACATCCCAAAGCCGTCCAAATCATCTGTTATCCTCACACCTATCTACTGGTTGCTTGGGGTTATATATAGAGATTTTGAATACTTAAGTGACTGGTTCTCATCCCTTCTCCTGCGAAAAAATGAAGCCATTTCTGGGTATCCACATGTATCCACCATTTCTGGATCAAGTCCGCAATCCCCATCAAAGCCACCAGGTGATGCACCATGACCAGTTTGTCGGTGCGTGAAATATCAGTTATATCCCCCAAAAAATCCACCATAGAACTCACCATGGCCTGGGGGCCTCACCAAAGCACTGGCTGGGAATCATGAGGAACGAGTGACTCAACTTTGATGGGTTACCCTCTGGTAAATTAACAGTTTGACCCTGGTAGTCATCGGGGTTGGAAGATTAGTTTCCATTAACAATTGGCTATTTTCAGGGTCTGTGTTTAGTTACCAGGGGGTAATTAAATCATATCTTTTATATGTCCTTATATTGGCTAAGCCTAACTCATCCACTTGCATCCCGCCCTCTGCAAATCAAACGTGGTGACATGGCAATGGAAATTTCAACATATTTATAGACTATAGATGATGTTTACAATAATAAAAACTATAGTCTATAATCATCTATAGTTACTTATTTTATTATTACTCAACAATAATAAAAACAATAATTAATAACAATAAAAAATAATGACAATAAATGACTGTCTTCGAGTGATCCCCAGCCCACAAAAAACACTATTCTGACATTTATAGGTGTTTTTCCAGCCACGTTTGACACCTCAGCGCAACCAAGAGACTGCTGCTGCCGCAGCCCGTTCCTCCGCGGCATTGGCCTGGCCATAAGGTCAAGGGGGCCCGCTAAAATAATTTGGTTATAGATGATTACGATTGGTGGTAGTTATTATACCTATATATTTTCTATGATTAATTACAATATATATATATACACAGTACATTTATGTATTTTATACTTAGATGGATTTATAAACCAACTATGCAAAAATCAACTTAGAGCTGGAAACCTCACATTGTTGGTCCGCTGGCCATAAAGACTTTGAAACCTACTCAGATTTGTTTTTGTCTGGCTTTACCAGCACATGGCAACACCTGCAGTGAAGGCGTATTTCGGAGAGCAAACTACAGCAAATATCTCAGGAAACCTATACCACCAGTTGTATCAGTTCACGCCTGCATGTATCGGATGATGTCTTTCAGCGTCTCAACACCTGCCAAAGTTTGGGGGTGCATCACTTTCTGTTAATCTTACGACCTTTTGGATGGCTCATCTACCCACTAAAACAGGTTCTGCATTTTTGGACAAACCTCCACTATCCCTTCGTCAAACTGGCTGAAATTTCATTGAACCTTCAGTTCATTTGGATGTGTTGAAGGGGACCCAAATATATATATATATCATAGTTCAGCGATTTTTTTCCCAATTGAAATTGCAAAGAAAAACATGTTCACGTACCAGGTACCAGACCCATATCAAACATTTTCCTTGCAGATTCTTGAACTCTCACGGGGCAAGAGAATAGCACCCACGATTGAAAGAACATTCCATTTCTCAGCCATGTTGGATTACCAGAGATTGAACCCGATCCGAGAAATGCAGGTTGCATCAGTTGCATCAGTTGCATCAGTTGCATTCCAGTTTTGATCAGTTTTGTTAGTTCGTCAATTCAATCTAAAGAAAATACCATAAAATAAATACCATAAAATACCATAAAATAATTCCATTAGTTCTAAAGAAAATACCATAAAATACCATTGTTTGTCTGTTCAATCTCCATGTTTTTCCATCCGCGACCTCCAGGAAATTCATCCAAAATGAGCAGAGGTTCCTCGGAACCGTCGGAACCTGCACAAAGTTCGGCTGGTACCACTTTGGCCAAACAAAACAATTCGATAACCAGTGAAAATTGAGATATGAGCAGCAACACTTAGATCTCACAACATTGAATATCAACAAAAAACATGTGGTAAACCCAATAGTTACTGATAGTAAATCATCACCGAAGACATTTTTTGTGGGTGGTAACGATCACTCCCACATGGTAGGTTTATGGTGTTGGGTTTACCACACAGCCAGCGCTGCACCCGCCTGCTTCATGTCTGCTTCTCAGCACTGCACAACAGGCGGCCTGACCAGAAAAACATACAAATAACATCCCTACAAGGGGTGGAGGTCAAAAGATGTAATTTTTAAAATTTGGAAGGTTAGTGGGTCATACATCCAAAATTACATGTTCCATATTTGAGGTCAAATAATATAAGTTACAATTGCTGAGGTTTTGGTTGAAAACTAAGGAGGAGTCGCAAAATGAAATTTACAATTATATAATATGCCAAAAAAAAATGGCCCCACCTGGCTTCGAAGACTCAGCGGAACGCCGCAAAACATGTACTTCAACACATTGAGGTACTATAATCAACTACACAGGTGGCAAAATTTATCAGCTGACAAATTGGCACTCTAAACACCAAGGCTATTAAGGTCTATGGGGCTATTGAAAAAAACCTCAAACCCCGGGGGCGGGCCCTGAGCGGGGAACTGACATGGGGAACAACAACGTGGAAGCACAAGGCGGGAACCACAACGGGATGGGCTGCTGTCAGTTTCCAGGGGGAAAGATTGAAGAACCCACAAATACCATTAACTACAGCAAAATGCAAGAAACTTGTTTTTCAAAGAAGAAAAAGAAGAAGAAGACTTTGAAGCGTACACCACCCCATAGTAGATGTTGCACAAAGAAGGGCCTTAGTTTTCGGGTTCCTTAGTGCTCCAGATGCTGTCTTGGCACTTGGCCAGCCAGCATCGAACCTTCAAGACCCCATTAGGGCATGAAGTTTTTTGGGCCCAGCCAAATCTAGCAAGATAAGGACAAGGCGGTTTAGGAGGGAAAGGACCAAGACGGTTCGGACAATCCCAAGTGATGTGCTCCCAGAATCCAACATTCCTGCACCCCAACATGTTTTTCAAAAAGAACGTTTTTCTTAAACACCAGAAAGAACTTTGAAAGAATATGAAAGAACGTAATCGAGGCTGAAGGTGCACATTTCTATTGCCCAGACTTATCTTTTTCACCCGCCTTCCGCAGAATCGATGTTAGCGAGAGCACCAGGACCCTCTGCGCCAAATATCACTGATAGACAAGGAATGCTGTGAACTGCGCCGAGTGCTCTGGTCCCAACCTACCGCAGGGTCCTGGTCCGAACCTACCGACCTACCGCAGGGTCTTGGTCCCAAAACACCATTTTCATGCGATGTGTCCGAGGGCGCCGCGGAATCAGATGAGGCTTTGAATGAGAGCCAGGTGGGCAAAAGCAAACCACCCAACATTTAAGGATGTATTCTGTTACGCTGCATGGTACCCCGCCATGATCTGTGGGAACTGGATAATGATGCAGCCTCTAAACCAGAAACTGTGGGATTGTTTTTTGGCGCAAACTGAGCGGATGCATCGAAACATTTAGAAATACCGCATCTGGCAGACCTCTGCGAGCCCTAAGGGTGTCTTTCTTTTCGGCGCTCCTCTGCTCCATGCGTGTGAAGCATGGTTTGCAGCATTGGGCTGCAAGCAAACGCTGAAGGAACCTTCAAAATCAAACACCGGCGAAGTCGTGAACGCCGCACAGATCAGTTCAACATCAAACACAGGCGAAGCAGAGGATGCCGCACCGAAACTGCCAGGCAAAGCACCAAGATCCGGAGGCTGAGCAGAGAGAGTCTGAGACTTCAACACGGCACAAGAACATTCACCAATGCTTGTGTTCGACTTAAAACTTAAGGCAGTTGAGGCAGGGCAGGCTGCAGGCACCCCCTCCGTGA